TGTGGTCAATGTCATGAGACAAAGTGTATGTGATCTGCTGTATGGAAAGTGTATTTGCTCGGTAAATTTTCACCCAAGTCACAATAAAAATTATTAAAAAAAAATATGGAGAAATCTTAAATGCATATTTTTAACTGAAAGAAGTCAGTCTGAAAAGGCTACAAACTATATAACATGCTTGAAAACATAAAACTGTAGGTACAATAAAAAAGTTATTGCCAGGAATTCAGGGTAGGAGTAGAGAGATAAATAGGTGAAAACCAAAAAACCAAACTCACTGCCATCGAGTTGGATCTGACTCCTAGCGACCCCTCCTTGGGTTTCCAATTTCCAAGGAAGTATCACTACGGAAGTAGATTGCCCATCTTTCCTTCTGAGGAGTGGATGGTGGGTTTGAACCACCAGCCTTCTAGTTAGCAGTCAAATACCTTAGGCACTATACCACGAAAGCTCCTAAATAGGTCAAGCACAGGCATTTTAGGGCAGAGAAACTATTCTAGATGATATTGTAATGGTAGATATATGAAAGATGCATTTTCAAAACCCATACGACTATAGAATAAAAGTATAATGTAAACTATGGACTTCAGTAAATAATGATATATCCATATTGGCTCACCAATGATAACAACTGTATCTGAGAATGCAAGAAATTAATAGAAGAAATGTTAATAATAGGAGAAGCAGGGCACAAAGGGAAGAGGGAAGATATGGGGACTCTTTGTACTTGCTGTACAATTTTTCTGTACACCTGAAACAAAGGACATGCATTTCATTTCAGGAGTCATGTTTCTCATGTGTCAAGGCCACACAATTCTTGTTTCAAACATGGGAAAGAGTTCCTCAGCTTGCTAACTCTACTCATTATGCATCAGAAATATGCTACCTCAAATGAAAAGGAAATTCAATACCAAATGTTTTGAAGCAGTAAGTTTTGTTAACCTAAAGCCTCACAACTTTTCAGTGTTCTCTGAGTATTCCCCATGGCAACACCGTTTCAGACTCTCTTTCTGTATGCACCATTGGGTTTCCTAAGGCTTCCTGGGAGAAGAGCATTCTTTGCTAGTGTGATCACTCCTGTAGTATAATCAGCTACATTCTCCTCTAATAATAAAATATTGTTAGAACATTTTCTAAGTCACTTTGCACATGCCTATTCAAACAACAGGGAGCTCTGGTGATGTAGTGCCTAAGGCATTTGACTGCAGACAAGAAGGCTGGCAGTTCAAACCTACCAGCCACTCCTTGGAAGGAAGAATGGACAATCTACTTCCATAGAGATATCACTTCAGAAATCCAAGGAGGGGTCGTTATGAGTTGGAATTGACTCGACGGCAGTGAGTTTGGATTTTTTTTTGGGGGGGGGCGATTCAAACAACCAGGGCTATAAGGTTTAGAGCAATGGTTCACAACTGGGATGATTATGCCCGCCCACCCAACCACAGGGACACTGGGCAATGTCTAGAGACATTTTTATTTTTCACAATTAGAAAGGGGTTGTTCTAGGAGCTCTGGTGGTGTAGTGCCTAAGGCATTTGACTGCTAACCAGAAGGCTGGCTGTTCAAACCCACCAGCCACTCCTCGGAAGGGAGATTGGGCAATCTACTTCTGAAGTAATACTGCCTCAGAAACCCAAGGAGCGGTCACTATGAGTTGGATCTGACCCAACGGCAGTGAGTTTGGTTTGGTTTTGGTTTTATAGGTATCTAGCAAGTAGAGGCCAGCGATGCCACTAACATCCTACCATACAGAACAGACTTCACAACAAAGGCTCAAAATGCCAATAGTGCTGAGGTTGAGAAATCTAGGTTTAGAGAAACAAGACCATAAAAAAGCACTGACCAATCTTATCTAGGAGCTCTGGTAGCATAGTGGCTAAGACACTTGCCTGCTAACCAGAAGACTGGCGGTTCAAACCCACCAGCCACTCCTCGGAAGGAAGGTTGGGCAATCCTACTTCCGTAGTGATACTGCCTCGGAAACCCAAGGAGGGGTCGCTATGAGTCGGGGCCGACTCGACGGCACATAACAACAACAACAACAACAATCTTATCTGGAAGAGGAGTGGGTAGCTGGAGAAAGAAGAAGGTTCAAATGCAAGTTTTTACCTTTTTTAAGATGAAGAAGGACTTGAGCAGGTAGAAAGTAGGGGCCAATATAGAGAGATTTAATATGGTGGAGGGGAATAATTGAGAAAGTAATGATTGGATGAAGAATACAGAATGATCCTTGAATATTAGTATCTTTCTGTTGTCTTCTCCTTTGAGGCAATAGGAAAGGATGTGTAGGTGCACCCCATAGATAAGCCTGAAGCTGTGGTATTAGGTGGCTGAAGAAGTTAGACATGATCCCTTCAATTGTATCTTTGATATAGAGAGTTATGAAAAAGGCATCAGTGTGGAAGGATGCATGAAGGAAGTGGTGAAGGTTTGCAATATAGTATAGGTTTTGGGAAAGTAACCTGGTCAGGGAAAGCAAATATTATACAGAGGTACTGAGGGGCCTACTGGAATTCACACACTTATGATGGCCCTATACACATAATGCAGTGCTTCCTTTTAGCACTCAGCAACCCAAATCCAAGATTGAGAATCTCCAGGATGAGTATGTCAGAAAGAAAGTATGTTGTGTGTACTAAAAAGTGAATGGTTGGATTGGCCTTCTGTGGTCAGTCTGAGTAGAAATAATGGCATAAAGTTCTAACAAATGAGACCTAAAAGTAGAAGTACAGGACATGATATCTCAATGAAGTAAAAGAAAAGGTATCATGAATATAAAGCAATAGCACAGCTGGAATGTAGGTGAATGTTATGTTGTTTTTGTTAATTGTTGGCTAGTTGGCTCTAACTCCTGGCAATCTTATGTATAATAAGAAAATGATGCTCCACCCTCTCGGGACCATGGTTACAGGGGACATCAAGCTCATTGATATAACAATCTACACAAAAACATTGTTCCACAACCTGCTTTGGTGAGTAGCAACTGGGATCTTAAAAGCTTGCAAGCAGCCATCTAGATGCAACGATGGGTCTCTCCTTGTCCAAAAGATGGATAGAAACAAT